TTGATCGCGCCGCTATGCCACTGCCCGGCGTGGATGCGGACGATCGGGCGCGCCGTTTCGACCCGCACCTCCTGCGGCGTCAGCAGGACGCCGCGCTTTTCGTTGCTCAGCGACTCGCCGAGGAGGGGGCTGCCCTGGTAGCGCTGCCGCACCGCCTCGGGCGGGCCAAGCCCAAGGCACTCGATCAGGCCCCAGCTGTAGAGTCGCCCCTCCTCCGACAGCGCGATGGTGAAGAAGCTCCCGCAGCTGACCTGCACCACGCGCTTTCCCTCCAGCGACTCCACCAGCTTCGGCTCGTCGATCTTCTTGAAATTGGCGTCGAAGTACTGCGGCCCAAGCCCGCTCTGCCCGTGGTTGTTGTTCCCCCAAAAGTAAACCCGGTAGTCCTCGACCACCGCTATGGCAAAGGCGTAGCCGGCGGAGATGTGCACCACGCGGTGGCGCTCAAAGAGAGGGATCCGCCGCGGCACAAGCACGACGGCAGACCTATCGCAGGGGTGCGTCTCCAAGTTCTTTGAGCCGCCGAGCCCAAGTTGCCCCCAGTCCCCATTCCCAAATGTGTAAACATTACCGTCGTCGCTGAGCGCGCAGCTGTAGTTCGCACCCAAGGCGACATGCGTTATGCGGACACCAAACGGCGCCACGCGCACCGCCGTTGGGACGTCGCAGTCGTCAAACCGCTGCGTCCCGAGCTCCCCGTTGCCACCGAAACCCCAACTGAACAAAAGCTGACGGCGGACCCGTCGCCTAGGCCGCAGCTGACGCACCATACCCCGAACGTTAAGGTACTCGGCAACCGCCAGAAGGCCGCGCGGGCAAAGCTGCGGTGGGATCATCACGACACGATGCCGGAGGTAGTTCAGCACAGGTGCGAAGTAGTCCGGATCGAGGTCGAGAAGAATGCAGTTGTGGTCATCGAGGTCCAGCGGCACCAGATCCTCAGCAGGGTACGGGTTCAACTGTTCACCACCCCCGCCACGCTCATCATCGCCCTTACGGGACTCACTATACCGCGACGACCACATGGCGGGCGGCATTGCAGGAGATAGGACGCGCTTCAAATCCTTCTGTCTGCTCGAAGTCAAAGACACACCACTTAAAGAGCTCGACTCGTGAGGAACATCGTCAGCATTGACCTCAAGTGCTGTTGAAGAGGCAAGCGAAGAAGAAAGAGCAACACTCGACACACCTCGAGTACCGTGACCAATGGGAGAAGCCCCCATCGAAAGACGCGCCCGAAGCGGCTCGCAAATCCGCGCCAAGAGCGTATTCGGGTCCGCGCAGAGCGTCGAAAACGTCGTCATGAAGATGCGCCCACCAACGCTCAGGCGGACCCAGTCCTCGGAGGAGGCGGTGGGGCTGGCGCACACCGGCATCCGCCGCTTCGACATCCCGTAGTAAACCCTGCGCTGCGCCCGCGACCTCTGCGGCCGTCGCACTGGCGGGGGGCACTGCGGATTGTTCACGGCATGCAGTCGTCGTGAGAGGTCGGTTGGGATGTCTGAGTCGATTCCGCGCGGCACATCCACGAGTGCGGCCTCAACGTGTCGCTGCGGCTGCTGATGCACGGAGGTGCGCAACTGACTGTCAACCGAGTCAGTCGATGAAAGCTCCTCGCCGCTGAACAAAGCAACCCCTCTCGAACACATCTGAACAGGCAGATGCTGAGCCAAAGCACCCACACACTACAGACAGTAAAACGTCGCTGAGACACTTGCAGGTGCGCTTCCTCAACCGAATCACGTAGATGTGTGTGTATATCTAGAGATAAATGCAAATAAATAACGGGCTGAGACAATGAATGTGCCCCAACACAAACGTGACACGCTAGACTTAGCTTTTTGATGTTTTATCTCGCTATAGCAGAGAGAGCGAGTTTGATGAAATCTAATAACAACAACAACACTATATAGTGGTGCTCCTTTAGCCTCTCCTTAACTAGTCGTTGTCGCGTGAACATGGAAAGGGATGAAGCAAAAATCATTGCACAGAATCAACTGCGTACCCAGACGTACAGCTTTGGTTGTGCGCGTACAATAACGAGCGCATATCCACCACCACCATCATCATTGAATAATTATCATAATAATATTAATAATATTTTTTTTAGTATAAAGATCATATTTAATTATATACTTTCTGAACGAATCTTTGCACAGAACGATGTTTCCCCACCTACTTAATAATCAATCAAAAGATACTAGGTTTATTTCCAAAATTTCGCATACAAGTTTCAAAAAACTGATGGTAAAACAGTTATGAATGTATCATACAACGAACATATAGCTAAATATATAATGCTACCGAGCCACAATTATCAAAGTAGAAAACTGAGGAGTTATTCATTTTACTATATTAACGGAAAAACTGCTTTTATAGCAAATAACCAATCCGAGCATTTAAATATATCACATTTCTACATTTCTAAGTAAAAATTTCTCAACTTAAACCTCCTCCCTGTGATTGAACTTAGCCTGTAATTAAGCATGCTCATGAGTGTCAAAATTGCTTTAAGTAGGACGCCGTGATGGCAAAAAATATGGCGCACTTGAATGCGTATTCATACACTAAATTCCACTAGGAGTCAAGGTTGTTAGATCAATCAATTATATAATACTTTTACTGCGACGGGGATTCATATTTGGCGAGCCGCTCCTTCAGCTCCTTAACCTCCTTTGCCAACGCCTCGTAGGTCGGTCGGATCACTTCACCCTTCGCGAGACCGCGCTCAATCATCCAATTATTATCGGCAAATTTCCCCAAATAGTTGCGGAGCGTGTCTGGTAAGATAACAACGCATCGCTGGTCTTCGCGAAGGTCCTTCGCAGCTTGCAACGCGCCCGAAAGCGCGGCTCCACTGCTGCCGCCCACCATCAGTCCCTCGAGGCGGTTCAGCTCCAAAGCAAGCTCGAAACTCTCCTTATCCACGGTCTTAACCCAGCGATCCACACGGTCGCGCTCACAGACCTTCGGAATGAAATCATACCCGACACCCTCGACCATATATGGGCTGACCTCATCGTGTTCGGGATCGGCGAGAATGCTCCCCACGGGGTCAGCACCAACAATGATGACGTTCGGGAGCAGCTCCTTGAGTCGCGTGGCGATACCCGTCATAGTACCCCCTGTACCGGTAGAGCACACCACCATATCGATCTTCCCATCGCACTGGTTGTAGATTTCCATCGCAGTAAGTTCATGTGCCTTGGGGTTGGCAGGATTGTTGTACTGGTCGAGCATGATGCATCCCTTCTCCTCCACGAGGCGATTGGCGACACCGAAGAGGCTGTCGGGGTGTTCTGACAGCAAGGACGCCGGTGTCCGGATAACCTTCGCACCCAGAGCGTTCATCGTCACCTCCTTCTCATGCGACATCTTCGACGACATGGTGATGACCATTTCATAGCCCCGCACCGCTGCCGCCATGGAGAGCGCGACACCAGTGTTCCCACTCGTCGGCTCCACCAAAACAGCGCCCGGCTTCAGACGGCCCTCTGCCTCAGCGGTGAGCACCATGTTCTTCCCCACACGATCCTTCACGCTGCCACCAGGGTTGAGAAACTCGCATTTGGCGACGACTTCACACCGGAGACCGTACTTCTGCGGAATGCGGTTGAGGCGGATGCAGGGAGTGTTTCCCACGGCATCCAGGATGTTGTTCAGAATCTTTTCAGCCATTTGTTGAAAGAGATGTTAACACGCTCAACTACGGTTGATTGTAGGTGTGTGTGTGTGTGTGTGTGTGTGTTTGGGGAGCTGGATGTATGCGTAAGCTTTGTTCGCAGTATGTGTTAGTTAAGGTTAATTAGTCTTCCATAGAAAAGAAGAGAATCATTTTATTTAAGGAAACGAGGGTAGGAAGGAAAAAAGGAAAAGGTTGTCATGCGCATTTACCAACATGAAAAACTCGCGGTGTCTGCAAGCTGTCATGGTTGTTTGACCAGGTAGTCAAACTACAGTCTTCTCAGCCGGTCCTGTGTCTTCTCGCAGCTCCCCGGCTATGTTAGGAGTCTGTAGATAAGACAATGTAAATGTATCGACATCCGCGCAGATATATGATATGTACATATGCAACACATACACAAATTAAAACCATCCCTTCTCACTCTCCGCAGTTACCCTCTCAGGTATTATATCCTAATGCGTCCCTCGACCCAACGGAGTCACCGAGGAAGGGAGAAGAAGACGATCAAAACGAAGTGATAAACAATATATACACAATGTACCGCAACAGCTTGCCCTTGAAATATTTGAAGACGATATGTGGTGTTCCAAATCAAAGAGCACGGCCGCGTGCTCAGACATCAACAATGCGCAGCACCATGGATATTAATACCCATTAGGGCTTCAAAACTGATAACATAAAAATTAAATCGATCATGACAATGGTAATATTTGCATTGCTATTAATAATAGAAATAATAATAAACATAAACATAAGCATAAGCATAAGCATAAGCCAAGTGCAATCGTAAGGCAAAGGCCTTAAACACAATCTCAGCCCATACACCCCTCCCTCACTTGTGACACGGGAACGACGTGCTAGGTGGGTGACGTGAAGACGAATGAATCCTCCCCCTGGTACACCTCCTCTCCTAGAACGGTTAGATGCTATCAAAATCAAAACGAATTGTGAAGAAGACGCAGACATATTAAGGAGAAACAAGAATAGCAACAGTAATCGCATTTGTCGTGACACATGGGTGCTCACATAGTCTATGGCGACACGCACATTGCCGTAGCCTTTTGGATGGAAGGCGGAACTGGAGGGCCGCTTTGTTTTAAAATGGAAGAAAAAAAGTCATCCTCGACATGGGTCCTTGACATCGCCTACCCCACCACTTCTACTGCATGAGGGAGCGATTGTACTCGATGGCTTTGTCGAGCAGCCGCTTGTACTCATCTTGCGAGGTGTCGTTCCTCTTCAGGATCTGCTGTTGATCGTCCATCATGAGCCGGTACTTATCCTTGGCGCTGATGTGCTGCTCACCGGCAGCGCTGCCTCGGAGTTGTTCCACCGCATCCAACCTCGCCTGATTATCGGCTGGCAACGTGAAGCGCAGCACTTGAATGCCGCCAGCTCCAGCCTTAGGCGTCCGTGGGGCCGTGCTGGATGCTGTAGAGATGCCTGCTTTCGCTTCTCCCTCTTCGTTACTTTGCTCCCCAACCTTTGAACTTCGTTTAACCTGAGTCCGCATGGCGGCCGACATGAAAGGTGTTGAGGATATCGGTGGTGGTGGTGACGACTTCCAGTGACCCTGCGCTTTTTTATAATCCAACAACACGCTTTTTCCGAGAAAGGTGTTGAGAATTCTGATACGTTCTTTTTTGTTCTTCTCGCGTTCCATCATCATCCTCACGTCATCTGGTAAGAGTCCTTCGTCCATCATCATAGCCATTGCTTCTAACGCTTTGGGATCATCCGCAGCAAAGGCAGGCTGCTCGCCCTCCGCTTCCCTTGCTTGCTCTGATGGTGCTTCATTCGGTAGCATCACCCTTTCGTGCGGCTCTGTTGGTTGTCCTGATGCTGGATTTGCGCCATGGCCTGACATATTCATCGGCGTAGACGTTTTTTCGACCAAATTTTTTTCTGTTTCCTTGTATATACATTCTTTTTCGCCATTATCCTTACTCGTATCGGCCGAATCCGGTAAATATGCCGGAGAATTATTTTTTATTTCGGTGAGCTGGGTGAAAGGCTGCTCCTTATTTGTGCCTATCACTTCACTTGAATACATGAAAATCTTGGAGTCGGAACTGTTTTCTTTGTTAACGCTAGTGTTGTTCATATTCCCATCTGCGTCTTCCTGTCCATCATGATTCAAAATGATTACCTCCACGTCATTATTATCTGGCTTCGCCGTGCTTACGCCGGACGCAACACGGTGCGGATCCTCGGTATTCCTCCCCAGCAACTCCAGTGTCACGCGGGCCTTGTTAATACCGTGGTCTTGGAGAGACTTCTGAATGCTCTCCGTGAGTTGCTCAGAAATGGAGCTCGGTTTGGTGATGGGTTCTGTGGTATTCATGGCCTCTCGCTCCCTTGTTTTTTCACACCCTCCTTTGTTCAGTGCTTGTTTTAAGTAATTCTATACTTTCAGCTGCTCTACGTTATCTCAGTGAACTTTTGGGCGAAAATTTAATCGTCTTCAGCTTCGTAAATTGGAAAAAAAATAGTAAGTGTGACAAATCAAAACGAAAAATACTTCGACAATGATGCTATATAATAATATACTCCTTAAAGAATGAAAACTTTATGTATAAAAAGGTCGAAGAAGGGAAATGATTTCTATATATAACAGTATACCCCTTAGCGGAAATTGAACAAACCCGAACCTAAACTAAGGATAAGGTAGAAACACGAGACGTCCGTGCGCGTTTTGAGGTAAAGATAGCGATTTTGTTTTGAATGATAAAACATATTTTAAAACCTTGTGCCTTTCAGCTCCCCTGCACAACCACGGAGAAAGGACCTCACATTCATCTGGACACAAGCAGTCATCCCTATTAAGCTACCTCGTACGTGTTGAATTGCTCTGGGGTGGAAGTAGAGCTCTGCTTCAGGACTACTTCTAGGGTCATCACTTCTTTTCATCTGGCTTCGCATCCAAATCACGGCAGTATGGACCTGGTGGCTCCTTGAAAAAAAGTGAGGTCCGCCCGCCCGCGGGTTCCGCGCATCTCCTATCCGGCCGCTGTGGGCCTATCTTATAAGGCCGGCCCTCGCGCAAGTCCTCGATGAGCTGTTTAATACTATCCCACGTCAAATCCTCGACAAAATCATATGAAAAGTTTGGCGGATTGCTATAATCGCTCACCACAAGCATCGGTGCATTCACGCAGGCGCCCAGGCACTCCATCTCGCCAATCGTGATTAGACCATCGCTGGTGGTGCCGTGCATCTCGACGTTGAGATAATGTTTGGTGTTTTCTATGAGCTGGTCGACGCCACACAACATGCAGGGCGTGGTGCGACAGAACTGTATGTGGTACTTCCCAACAGGATGGCGATTGAACATAGAGTAAAAAGTGACTGTCTCGAAGACCCGCATCGGCGGGACTTCGCAAATCTTCGCGATTTTATACATCGCCGTGACTGGGATGTAGCCGCCCTGCTGTTGCTGTGCTAGATGGAGAAGTGGAATCGTTGCGGATCCGCGCCTAGCACGCGGGAACTTCGGTAAGATCTCGTTGTGAATCTTCTCATAGCTGGCGGTGGTGAAGTCCCATGGTATGCGGGTGTTGTTGTAGTCTGTGTTGTGGTGACGCACCTCGCCGTGAATTCGACGAATCGGTTGGCTTAAGAAGAAAGTTGCAGGCTTGAGAACGGGAAGACGCTTCATTGCTCAAATATCGGGAGTTTATGCTAGCTTTTTCCCCTCTTCTAGAAGATTGTATAGTCCTGGTGAAGAAGATGCGTTTGTTGAACTAAAAATGTAATTCTAAAAGAAAATATAATACTAGAATGGGTACGATACTAAAAATGTAGGCTAATAATAATAATGTTAATGCGAATAATCGATGCTAACAAAAATGAACGATAAACCACCCTCTACTAAACTGATGTCCTATATGGTCAAATATACCTATATTTAATTCGTCCTATTAGTGTATATACAGCGAGTGTTTTTTTCTAGCTGTAAAAATAAAAAAGGAGATAAATACGGTAAAAGTCAGAAAGTATGACATAGAAAAGGAACAAGATAAAAATCAGACGGTAGGTCAGCAGGAAAAAAGATGTCTCAAAGAAACGGGATAGACACCACTCACAAAATCTTCACTCTCAGCCTCTTTCAAAACGGAAAGGAAAAAGAAAATGAAAACTCTGTTATAGGTATTTTAATCTATTCGAAAAATGAGAAAATCTTCCTATTATCCTCACTTTTTGAGGGTCCAAGGGTAGATATTCACTTCTGGCTTCCTTTTTTTTCTGCCTTTCTTTGTTCTGTACACTTTTCCTGCTCGACGTGTATCTGATTATCTAGTGTTTATTTCCTCTACATACTGTTAACTCCCTTTTCATTCTAATTGTTTCTATTAAATAGGTACATATGTATATAAAGCACCTCTCAGATGCTAAAGTGGGAAGAAGAAATAATCCATCCAGAGCAAACGAAACCTTCTATTGACGCTCAAAAAATAACGAAAAAAAAAGGTAAAGCGATCTATGTTCAAGCCATGAATAAACCTTCCGTTTGAAATCACGACTGAGTTGGGGATAAACAGGCGAGCAATCAAAGCTGCAAAAATGGAGAACAGTAAGAAAACAAAAAAGAGGCGTACTTTCAAATTCATATGAAATCGCGCCGCTAAACCGCCCGTTTGGAGCTCTTTTTTTTGGATTTCTTCTCCAAGGCTTTGTGCAGATTTGGCATCACACCACCGCGTGAGATAACGGCATCTACTAGGCGGTTAAGCTCCTCGTCACCGCGAATGGCAAGTAAGATGTGCCTTGGCTTGATTCGCTCCGTCTTCTGTGCCTTCGCGGCAGCACCGGCAAGCTCGATTACCTCAGATGTTAAATACTCCAGCAACGCTGCACAGTAGATGGCCGCGGACGCGCCGCAACGTTGTTGGCGAAAAAGGCCCTCCTTTAGCCGCGAGTGCACGCGGCCGACAGGAAATCGCAAATCCGCGCGGACTGAGCGCGACATCTTATCTCGGCGCCCCGCCTTTCCCCCCGTTTTACCACCGCGCTTGCCTTTCCCCTTGCCTCTCCCCGCACCCCCTTTGCCACCAAGCTTGCCACCGGAGACTACACTTGCCTGATCCGCGGTGGCGGAGCCCGGCCCGATCATGGGCTGCGCTGTTCCCGGGAGTATGATTGGCGACTCGTCGACTGGGTAAGACATCGTGCTCGTTGTGAAGTGGAGCTGTGTATCGATCAATAGTAGAATGATAATAATAATAGTAACCAATCTAGATATGAGCAACCCTCCTCCTATGTTATGCAAGGAAGGAAAGGACCCGAAAAAAAAAATGAATACCTAAGCGAAGAATGTAAACTGCAGAAGTTTTAAGAAGAATAAAAAGGATGCGCGAAAAAAAACTCAACTCATGATAAGTGGTTTGAAAATATTAGTTCTTCCTCAAACTTGAAAAAAAGCCAAACAGCGCATTCAATCACTATAATTCCTTCTTTACTTTTCTGAGCTAGTGTTGCCTTAGCAAGATACCCTTTCTTTACGCGTGTGAACGTTTACAACGCCAGATGTCAGCCAAGCAGTATGTGAAGATTAGTTTCTACCCCTTAGCCAACCCTTTCATCGAGCCTGCAGTCTCGCCTCCTCCAGGGCACGCCGGCAGGCCCCACACCAGACCTCCACACCTTCCGCCCTCCCCTCATCCACACCATAGACCACGCACGCCCCAGCCCCTGCCAGCAACGCGCAAGGGAAGTGGAAATACTTACAACACCGTCGACGGCAGCTCCGCGGAGAGGCCCGCGTCGCCGCCTCACAACGTCGGAGGCCCAATACAGGGCCACCTGACCCCTGTGAGGCCCCTCTCCCACAGACCGCACAGCATCGGGTCCGACAGCCCTCCCCGCGCACGTTGGGCGACGTCATCTGGCATGGGATGGAAAGGAGGATGGCGGCAAGTCTGCGGGCAGCCTCGTCATGCGGCGTCTCCCGAGCACCCGCCCCCTCGGGTCCCGAGAGATCTGAGAAAACGTGCACCACCGGGTGCGAAGGAAACGCGCGGGCCCAATAACACGCGGACGCCCCCTCGTCCACGCCCGCTCCCGTGGTGGGGCCGCTCTCGATGCGCTCAGGAAGGCGTTCCGAGACCGCGTCGTAGAGCTGGGTGGTGTACGACACATCGACGCCCGCCAGCAAACCCGACCAGATCAGGCAGTTATGGTGGGCCGTTCCCTCGGCCCCGAGGAGCTCCCCGACCCCGCCGCGCGCGCCCGTCATGGCCGCGGCCGCCATCCCCGCCTCACCCCCGCCACGACGGCACTGCAGACGCCAATTCGGCCCGAGCATAGCGGCAAAATGATCCTCGGTGAGCCCATGAAGCTCCGCCGCCTCGCAGGCGGCGCGGCGAGAGCGCAACAACGTCGTCAGATACCCCCGCATCCCATCCCGATCGGTCAGCTCAAGGCCGCAGCACACACAAGGGCCACGCACCTCTTGCCAGGGTCGCGTCCGGTCCCCATCGACCTCCCCGCACCGCGCGACCGGTGCGATGGGGGATGGCGGGAGCATGACGAACA